GATGGCCACAGACCTTTGCTGAGGAGTTTACCCAGTGATGTAAGGGCTGTGTAAGGAAGGAAAGGAGGAAATACAGATCATCCCTACTGACTCATCCATCTCCTGGAAATTGTGCTAATGAAGTAAACTGGCTCTAGTTATTTTCATAATTTCCTAAGTTGATGCATTAAGAACTGTCAAGCAATTTTTTTTTAGCTGAGGGTGATTAGCAATAGGACTTATCCATAGCAGTTTCTAGTTTCAAGTCTTTCAGTAGCCAAGATGTAGGGACAACTTAAGGGCTTGAAGAACTTATCCAGAAAAACCATGTTACAATTCCCTTATTTTGTGTAAGGGATTTTGTTTTGTTTTTAGAATGTGTTAATGTAGTCTCGGTAGAGTTTTCATGAGAATAGCTTTGGTATCTAATATTGGGTATTACTTATACATATCAGCTTGGTAGGTCCTAGGCAAGTACACCAAAGGATTCTTATTGGCTAGTTATTCACTACTTCCGGGTAGTTCAAACCAGAAGTTACCCTTGCTCACTTATGGAGAGGTTCCAAATGAAGGCACCTACACTCAACCACTCCTCCTTTCTGCTACTCCCATCTTTAGGGCTTTGTTGTCCTTTCCACTGACTTTTTTTTGTTGTTTTGAGACAAGGTCTTGCTATGTAGTCCAGGGTGGCCTCAAACTCACAGTGATCCTCCTGCCTCAGCCTCCTGAGTGCTGGGATTACAGGAGTGCACCACCATGCTCGGCCCCACTCATTCTTACTCCAACTGAACCCTTCTCCGTTGACAGGATATGCTCTCTTCTTTCTTCCTTCTGTTCTTTTTTTGCACTGGCTGTTCTCTCTGATAGGAGCATGCCTTCAGAACACTCGACTTTTATTAATTTCTCTTCCTATGTGCTTCCCTCGGTACTTATAACACAGTACTGATGGCGCTTGTGTGTGTGTGATCAGATACCTATGTATGTATACATACACACTAGAGATAAAAAAACTGTCCTTCTTATTCACAGTGATAACTTCTAGGAACAAGGACTCCTTGGTGCTCAATAAGAATTTACCGAGTGAAAGTGTAAGCTTTAGACATATCCTAATTGCTCAAGTCCACCCATGTGGAAAAATGTTCTGATATTTTCATGGGCTGAAAAAATAGTAAAAAGTTATAAGTCCTGTTAATTTTAGCTATATTCTCACGTTTTATTTATTTATCATAGAACTTATAGTTTGTGGAGCCAAACCTATAAAACCACCTCTGTGAAAGGTCCTAGATGAGCTGGATAAGTTAATAATGACTGCTGACAAGGAGTAATTTTTTCTTTTATAAACTCCTCCTTTGTATTCTTTTTATAAAACTGTGAAGTCATGAGTAATCTAGGATTTAAAAAGCTAAAGCTGGCAACTGTTTTACATTTAGAATGTAAAACAGAATGTGAACCATAGCTTCAACATGGAACAATAACAAAAACTAAAATAAAACAAAACCAAAACAAACAAAAGGTATTTATTGTGGCTCCAAGTTTCCCTCCCAGTAAACCTTTTCTTTTTTTCTCTTTATCTTTCCAATTGGCCAGACTTAGGCATTAAAAATACTTGATCTGTTTTAATTCTCTGAGTATTTATCTGTTTTAGGATTTTACAGAATCAATTTAAAAATAATTAGTAAAACAAAAGGCAGTGATAATGTGTAATATTTTCAAATTAATCTGCTTTTTTTTTTGGTACCGGGCATTGAACTCGGGTCCTTACACTTGCGAGGCAGGAGGCGGAACCACTGAGCTAAATCCCCGGCCCTCAAATTAATCTGAGTTATACATTGTTAAAATATACACTTCTCTAATTAAATTACTGCAGTGGATCCCAGTGCCATAGGAAATAAACACCAATATTTTTTAGGCTAGCAGTCAAGGCCCTTGGAGATCTAACCCTGACCAATCTTCCAAAGTTTTCTTTCACTATTCCCTGTGGTCTTCTATTCTCTAATGCAAATGACTATTTGCTACCCCAGCACAAAGTAGATGCTCCAGTCCTAGCAAAATGTTAGAAATTTGCTTTAACCATTATAAAATTGGGGGCGTCATTTAAAAAAGTGTTTTTCAAACTTAATTATACATCAGAATCACAATGAAGGGCTTGCTAAGGTCTGTTAGACCTCGGATTGGTGAGCCCCATCCATACAGTTTCTGAATTAGTTCATCTTTGTTGGGGCCCAAAGAGCACATTTTCCCGGTGAAGATGATGGTATGGGTCTAGGGACCACATTCTGAAGTTTGCTAGCTTCAACTAAAGTTGAAAGGTAGAAGCGCAAGTTCAATGTGAATTGGCTGCCTTTGTATAATACAGGAGCAACCCTTTAAAAACCAAGTCACGTCGCCCCACTCCTCTGCTCAAACGCCTCCCATGGGTGGACCATTTTATTCCGAGTGCAAGCTGATGTTTACGGTAGTCCACAGTGACACACCAGTCACCCCCGCTCCAACTCCCTTCTCTAGGCTCACCTCCTGTTGCTCCCCACACCCTTGCTGGTGCAGCTGCGCTGACCTCCATGCTCCCCTGTTAACTCCTCCATCACCCACCTGTCTCAGGGATTGCTTTGGGTATCCCTGCCTGTAGTGCTCTTCCCCCAGTCACTCACTTGGCTAAGTTCCTCAGTGACTTGCTCAGATTTCATCTGCCCCGTTCTGCGGCCCACCCCATCGTCCTAGTCAGCTGTGCCCCTAGCCACTGCTCTTCCTGTCCCACACACCTGGCACCTCTGATCGCTCTCACCTTGCTTCATTTGTTCTACTTTGGTGATGCCAGCACTTAACGCTTATCACCTGCTCACACACTGTATTCTTATCAATTACATTTGTTGTGTGTCTCCTCTGCTAGAATATACACTCCGTAATGGCCAGGATCTTTGTTTTGTTCCCTGATGCGATGCATTCTAAGTCTGGGGACATCATAGGCACTCAATTTAAGTCACTGAATGAATGAATGAATGAATGGATCAAGGAGTGACTACATTAGATGTACTGTACAGCATACTGTTTCAAGCAAATGCTACATAAAAGAATCTTCTTCTTTTTTTTATTTTTTGGTACCGGGGATCAAACTTGGGACCTTCTGCTTGCGAGGCAGGCGGTGGAACCACTGAGCTAAATCCCCGGCCCCAATCTTCTTGAAATAGTATCTGTTGTGGTCCAAGATCATTAACTTATCTAGGCTATTCAATGGCAAGTTCTTCCTTTTTATCTTTTCTCAGCGTGGTGATTCATGCCTTCTGAGTTTTAGATATTTGTGCTTGTGGTCAGAGGCAGCGGGATGCACCAGTCTATTAGAACACACCTTGTGCAAAACGGTGTTAGGGCTGAATCTGTTCCAGTTTGAAGCTATTTTTTTTAAATGATTCCTTTAGTCACCCTATGCAGATGAAGATCCTTTATTTTAGTCCATAATGTTCTGTGGATTTAGAGAGGTAATTATCTTTGACATACGGCAATTTTAATCAATAAAGAGTAGAAACACTATAGTATTCCAGTTTTTAGCTTATAGGACGACTATTATTATAATGCTAGGAGGATTTCTTGAGGGTTTCCTATATGACAGGCGATGTGCTAAACATTTGATCTGATATGCACACCATATCTTAGCTCAGTATAACATCACAGGAGGAATTTTACACATGAGAAATTCAGAGTCCAAAGACTGAGCTCCAATGAGTGGCACAGGGTTCCACATTCTGTGAATGGCAGCAAGGGCATCTAATCTACATGTGTCTGAAACCTATTAAAACGATAGTCTGGGGAGTTGGAGTAAAATAGAATCCTTGAAGAAATACTCTGATACAAATCCAAATTTGGAGCCTGATGTTGAAAATGAGAGACCAAGTTAGTAACAAGTGATCCTATTCCAAGGGCACAGACAGATTTCATATCATCTCCCTGAAGTTTAAAATGTGTATTTTAAAGAGCAATTTGGTTTTTTCTTTAAAAAAAAACCCCTCAAGGGGAGCTCGTGATTTAGCTCAGTGGTTCCGCCGCCCGCCTCGCAAGTGGAAGGACCCGAGTTCGATCCCCAGTACCCAAAACAAAAAACCCTCAAGGTTTTCATTTCCCATTTTATGGCTCCCTTCCTGTCATGGCTTTGGAGCTAGAACAAGGAGTCCTTGGTAGGGAAAGGAAGGGCTCGGTCATCAGTCTCCATGAACAGTACTGAGTGGGTTCTGTTGTCTACGCTTCCCAGGCCGACAAACAGTAAATACTGATGTAGTTAGAGGTGCTGGTCACTACACTGGACTTAAGCTTTGCATGTGTTTTCATACCACATGCTGCAAGGAGTGAAGGAGTGTCACACAAATTAGGCAGATCTTTTAAAATTCTATTCTTTTTTTCAAATAAACTATGCCAACATTCCCCCCCAACACCCTGTACTGGGATTGAACCCAGGGCCTTCATACTTAGCTACATCCCCAGCCTGTTATTGTTCTGAGACAGGATCTTGCTAAGTGGCTAAGTTGCCTGGGCCGGGCTTGAACCTGTGACCTTCCTGCCTGGACCTCCCCAAGTTTACTCACATACTTTAGTCTTAAGATTATCTCTAAGATCTCTCCCTAGTCACCATTCTTTTTTGTCTTTTATTAGTCATCTTGTTTTCCCATTAGTCACTACAGGAAATGACTTTACTACTCTGAGAGTGAGAAAGAAGATCACCTTATGAATATTGTGCCATTTTCATCTAACAAGTTGAAGATTCTTGCTCCTTATCAATGAAGACGTTACTTGATGTCCACGAGTGCATTGTTTGAGAATTTCTTTCTTTTTTTTTTTTTTTCTTGGTACCGGGGATCGAACTCGGGTCCTTGCACTTGTGCAGCAGGTGGTGAAACCACTGAGCCAAATCCCCGGCCCAATGTTTGAGAATTTCTTGCCCTCTCTCCCTTGGACCAGCAAAATGAAGGGTGGCAGGACTGGCCTCTCTTGCACAAGCATCTTCTTGTTCCTCTAGGCGCCATGAGTTCACTCACCTTTGCAAGCATCTGGGGCAGAGAAGGGTCTGCGGAGGTCACGGTAGAAGCCTGGCTTGCAGCGCTGGCAGTGCTGCCCCTCTGTGTTGTGCCGACAGTTGCTGCAGACCCCGCCGCTGCGATTCCCTGACGCGGCCCACACATTAATGTCGAAGTGACAGGTGTCCGCATGCCCATTGCACTTGCAGGCTGGAAGAGAGGAGCGCAGGAGGACCACACATGATCGAAAATATAGCAACAAGATCTCTAATATTCCAGTAGTTAAAATAGGGTAATCTGATTGTCAATTATTTTATTTGTAGTTTTTGGAGACAATTCAAAAAGGAAAACATATAAAGGTATGCTCTGAGAGTTCTAGCTTTCCCATGCCCATTTACCCTGTTTTCCTGTGGTCTTCAATATGTTACTACATTTTAAAGTTTATCTGACCTTCTCTTTTTTGCATTAGAGTTGGTTAATTTAAAAAATTAAGGCTGGGGATTTAGGTCAGTGGTTTTGCCGCCTGCTATGCAAGCACAAGGACCCAAGTTCGATCCCTGGTACCAAAAAAAAAAAAAAAAAGAAATTAAGTGTTAGGATATGCACGAAAGTCAATGAAATATAGATTTGTCTAGTTAGGCAGAGATATTATGGTGATCTTTTCACCTGGGGTTGGCATTTATTTTGGGAAGATATTTGAGTGTCTATCAGTTTATTTTCTCTCTTCACGTTACTGGTACTTCCCAAGGGGGATCACCTTGAGTCTCCCAACCTTGCTAAGGAAAGCCACAGTTGCCAGGCATTATTTGAAAATGACAATTTATATCGCAGATATGAGCCCGAATTCACACTCACTCTTGAGCTTGGAAAGAAACTTCTGGTGGACTTGGCAAAGTGACTTGACAGGTACTTTGATTTATCTGTCATGAAATACTGTTCTCAGCTGTGGTTCTTCTAGCGATGATAAGGCAGTCTGCTATAAATGCCTCAGTGTTCTTAGAGAAGAGGCCTGCTGTGTTTCTATGTAACAATTTCTCAATGTCGTTTCTCAGATCATGTCAGTAGTCCAAGGAGCACAGCTCTGAATTCTACGTGTGTTTAGATATGCAGTGGGTTTCTGAGGAAAGGACCAGAATGGCACTTGAGAAATTTAGGAGAAATTCTTCAGATTCTATTGATGAGTGATTTAAAATAAGAACCCAGACTCTTTTATCAGAGTCAACTGTATTTGAAAATATGTGTGCTATTGTTTTTCATTGTTTCCTTGATGTGTTGGGATATTTTGACCTGATTCGTATCTCTAAAAAGCATATTATAAGATAATTAAATTTATGCTTAGGGGAAATCCTTTACATTTCCTACAAACAAAATGAATCAATAATGATTCCTTAGGTATAGGAAGAGACTTCTCACAACATTACTCACCATATTTGCCTTTAAATCTTTGTAAAATCGAGTTTTTGAGTATAAACACCATAATGGGCAGGCATAATTCTCTGAACACAACATTACAAAGATCAGAGGTTCATGTTCTCATATTTTTCCTCTCCTACCTAATTTTCCACCTCAAACCCAAAGTTAGTCCTAGTAAAACAATCTCATTCTTGACTTACTAGTTTTATTTCAAATTTGATCTGTCATTTCAAGTGTCATAAACGAAAAGCAGGCATTATGATATAATGGAAACAAATATCTAATTTGGTGTCAGAAGCCTTTGGACCAAGTCCCAAATCTTTCATTTACTAACTTTGGCAAGCCACTTAATCTTACCAAGCCTCAGTTTCCTGATCTCTAAAATGGGATTAACACCACCTGCTTTACTGGGTTGTTTTGAGAACTGAACTCAAAATAGCTATATTCATGACTATAGTTCCATAACTGTACACTGTAATCCTCAGTTGCTCTTGTGTCTACTCACGCTTGCATTATATCAGATTCTCCAGTTGGGTGCGTAGAGCCTGCAAAGCCTCCAAGCAAAGAGGCAACACAGTCCTGGCAAATCCATCCTATTGGCAACCTTGCTAACAGCAATTGTTTCCAATGGTTGAAGACACTCTGGGCAGTGATTCCGGCTATGCGTGTAGGTTTACGTGTCTGTTACCCACCACTTTATGTTGGGTTTCTAGCATCAACAAGGGGTCCACACTTAAGGCTTACTCTACCAAGAAGGCTTTGGAGCGTCGTGGGCTTGTTACTTACTTCTGCACTCCTTAGGGGTCCCCGTTCTGCCATCCGCTGCCTCCCAGGGTCGGTCGTTGTACAGCGGTGCACAGTGCTGACAGTGGCTGCCCACTGTGTTGTGCTTACACATACACTTCCCGTGGACCTGCAAACAACAGCAGGAAAGAGCATGGGTACACGAGGCCAGAGAAGCACATTGTTCCCACAATCGCGTCGTGTCGGCTGGCTTCAGCCACAGACCTTCATTCCTTTTCCTAAAGACATTAGCTGTCAAGAAGAGACTTCTTTAGCCTTGTGATTAATTCAAGAGACTGAGTAATATTTTTCTTGGCGATGGGACGTACAACCCTAATGAGGGAGTCTGAGGTATGTGTGGTACGGGCTAAGCATTTAAGTAAGATTTTAAGGCCTTTATGTTCATTCTTCATACAAAAACAATACATTTTCACTACAGGAAACTTAGAAATCCATAATATTACAAAGCAATATCTAGTCTTGGAGTATACATTTCTAGGACCTTAAAAATGTAATTATATTTAATACTTTTTCTCACAAAATATATTGAGAATATTCTTCCATTTCATTAAATATTCTTGTATAACACACATTTAAGGCTCTCTTGTATGATGTGCTATTCATTGTGATGTACTATTCATTTAATCAATTACTTGTTTTATGTTAGGCTTGTAAATACTTTTATATATTATATTCAATGTTATAATGAATATCCCTATAGGCATGTATTTTATTTCCTTTGTATGTGCTCTCAAGAGGTAAAACTGAAGGACCAAAGTACATATATTGTTAAAGCTTTGAATGCACTTTGTCATAATACCTGGGCATTTTCTTTTGTCTCTATATTTGAGTACCTGAAGGTTTATTTCAAAGAAAGGAATACATTAGTAGAATTCTCAGGGATTTGAGTATTTAATTTTTTTGTATTATTTCACTGATAATTTATAAAAATTGTTTGGATCATTTGAACTATCTCATAGTAACTGAATTACCAAGGATTCAGTTATTCAGATGTGTTTCTTGACAGTGATAACAGCACTGTAAATATGAAATCTTTGCAAAGCAGCTCAGAATGGGGTTCACAATTGTGGAGTCAGGAGGTTTTATTTTTCCTTGGCAATGTTAAAGGCAACTCAGTATAAAGGTAACAAATTATATCAAGCAGTCAACAGATATTTAATGAGCATCAGTGAGGGCCAGTCACTATGTGAGACTATGTTTGGTATACAAAGCATTACTGCCTTGAAGAAGGATACAGTGTAGTTAGAGAGAAAAGATTTACTTAGGAAAACATAACAGAAGAGATAAATACATGCCTAAAAACCAAAATAATGCTGGCATTCACAGGATGCAGACATCCTTGTGGTTGGTGGGTGGGGGAGTAGGGGAGAGGGTTGGGGTGTGAGCCAGTCCCTGACTGGTGAGACCTGGTGAGCAGCGTTTGTGGCGTGGAAGAAGCTTTCCAGGAAGAGGAAGCAAAGTGAACCAAGGTAGAAGGAGACTCTGTGAGAAAAGTTGATTTCAATGCATCTAAAATATTTTGCAACAAAAAAGGAGCTACTGAAAATGACATGGACTTAGGCCAATTCAAAATGAGTCCCTAGAGTAAAGTTCTGCAAACCTGGAAAGAGCCACACAAATACTCTGATAAATTACTGCTTGCCTTAAGACAACACTTGAGAGAATTGTCATGGCATCCAGGACCCCATTTCTTTGCATACTTTCCAAGCATATACATCTCTCATTCCATGGGAAGGGGCACTCTGGAAATGGTATATGCATTATTCAAGTGAGCTTTGGGACTGGTGTGGGTGTTATGCTCACATAATGTTCAAATGAAAAAATTATACACAGGGCTTTGAGGCTGTTTGTGAATGGACCAATGATGCCTAAGAGTTATAATCTGGAAAATGTAATGAGTAATGTTTTGGTGGCCATCTCGCTAAATTTCATTTCAGTGTATTATAATATAATGTTCTCATACTTAATGAAAACAAGAGCAATCTTCTCTAATTCACATGGATTAGGGAGAACATGGATTTTTTAAAAAGGGATGGGACTGGATCATTGGAGTAGGTTGATGTTGCAAAAATCTTTGTTAAACTTCTTTATAGAAATTCAACTAATATTAAAGGTTTATTAGTTTCATGGAGTGCCCAAGTATGTGTTGTTATAGTAATCTATCTTCTTGGGTTCCTCTTTATGACAATCCCTGATATAAACTTTATATATGGAAGTTCCATGGAGTTATGAAGGTTCTTTACACACCTCCATTCATACATCTGGTCAGGGTCTAAAGATAAATCTGCACTTAAACTTGGAGAAGTGAAGGAATTCATGTTCTTCTGCTCTATAAGAGTGAGGTGTTTTCATCCTAGCTCCTAGACATTTGATTTTTCCAATGCATCCATGTATATGAACTGTATCAAGTAGAAATACTTCAGTCTTACTGTTTTTATTAAATCTTTTTCTATTCAGCACTTTCTCTCATAAAAACATAGAAACCTATACCAAATAACACCTACATGGTAAATTTCTTTAAAACTCTCAGTAAAGGCAGAGGAGGTGAGCTGCTCCCAGCACCCAGGAGGAGGCTTCCAGGCCACTGTACCACCCCCTCCAGTGCAGAGGAGGTGACTGCACCCTCACCCCCCCCCAACTGAAAGGAGAAGACATGTAAACAAGTCTCAAAACTGGACTTCCAGATCACCTAGGGCAACCCCAAAGGGAAATGAGATGGAACACTCTGATACTCTACCGTTTGAACTCCCTGAACTGGCAACAAAAGAGGATATGGAAAAAATGAAATTAGAAATAATTTCTTAGATAACAGCAGAGATTGTGCCTATAGTGAAAGACATGATTAATAAATCTAGAGAGGACACAGATTAAAAAATAGAGGAACTGAGGAACATGATGGAATCCCAACATAGGAAACAAATGGAATCCATAAAACAGATGCAAACAGATTTCCAGGAGATTAAAAACTCCATTGAAAGTTTATACAGCAGAATGAGCCAATGTGAGGACAGAATTTCAGATTTAGAAGATAAGATTGCAATTAGTAACCAGGAAAAGAAAAATTGCTTTAAAATTATAAGGGACCATGAGAAATCAATCCAGCAGCTGCTAGATGATGCAAAGAAGAATAACATAAGACTGATTGGAGTCAATGAAGAAAACAGGAGAGAGTGCAGATGACATAAAAAACTCTTCACAGAAGTGATAGCAGAAAACTTCCCAAGCAGGGGAAAAGAACTTGGCATACAGGTAAGTGAGGCATATAGGACTCCAACTAGCTGTGATAAAAAAAAAATCTACACATAGGCATATAATAGTTAAAATTCCAGAAACCCAACAGAAGAATAAAATTCTACAAGCAGTTAGAGAAAAGAAACAAATCACATACAAAGGAAAGCCCATCAGAATCACAGCAGACTTCTCAATGCAAACCCTCAAGGCAAGAAGAGCTTGGAGTGATGTATTTCAAGCCCTAAAGGAAAACAGCCTCCAACCCAGATTGATGTACCCTGCAAAACTATCTTGCAAAATTGATGGAGAAATAAGATACTTTCATGGCAAAGAGCACCTCAGGAACTTCATGAATACAAACCAGCACTCCAAACAATTTTAGACAGTATCCTAGGAAAAGACAACGAGGATCAAAACCCCAGGAAGCCCAGCAGAATGAATCTGTCGGGCAGGACAAGAAATTGAATGCAAAGGGGGAGAATCCAACAAACAGAAAAATTCATGACAATGATAAGTCAATATGTATAAGTTATAACCATCAATGTTAATGGTCTCAATTCACCAATAAAAGAAATAGACTGGCAGAATGGGTCAAGAAGCAAGATCCAACAATATGCTGCATACAAGAAACACATTTAATTAAAAAACAAACTCATAGACTGAAAGTTAAAGGGTGGAAAACAATACTCCATGTGACAGGAACCCGAAAAAAAAGCAGGAGTAGCTATCCTCTTTGTAGATCAAGTGGATTTCAAACAAAATCTGAAATGCTCTGGTCCCAAGAATTTCAGATAAGGGACAGTCAACCTGTATGTACAAATCTATTGTGAACATGTGTTTTCATTCCTCTTAAGTAAAAACTGAAGAACAGAACTGTTGGTTCTTAACAGAGAAATTTCTATATTGTTTTCCAAAATGGTTTTATCATTTTACATTCACATTAGCAGTATTAGAAAGTTCTAACTGCTTCACACCTAAGCTGACATTTGTTCTTTTAAAACTTTTAACTTCATCTCCCTAATGAGTGTATAATTCAATCTTGTTATTGTACTGATTAGTATTTTTCTGATTCTAGTGTTGCACACCTTTCCTTGTGCTGTACTGGCTATTTATAATCTTCTCGTGTCTACTTTTTAATTGGGTTGTCTATTAATGAGCTGTAAGTGTTCTTTATATATTCTGACCATAGGTTATATGTATTATAAGTTTGGTCTGTTTAAGGACTACTTTTCATTTTCTTAACGATGTTATTTAAAGTTCTAAATTTTGATGGAATCTCATTATCAATTTTTTTCTTTTATACATCATGTTTTTTGTATCCTAGGAAATTCTTGTCTAACCTAAACTCATAAACATTTTCCCTTATAATTTCTTCTTAAAGTGTTACAGTTTTAGTCTTTCATATTTAGGTTCATAGATCCTTTCAAGTTATTTTTAGTATGGAAATAAAGGGTTGAGGTTAATTTTTTACATATGGATGCCAGGTGTTCTAGTACCATTTGCTGAAAGCACTATCTTTTCCTCTGCTCTGAGTTGAGTTTATGTTCTATAAAATGTTAATGTTAAATAATCTTTCAAAACTCAGTGGACCATATATGTGTGGTTCTATTTCTAGATTCTCTGTTTTATTCCAATGGTCTATATGTCTTTCCTTACCCCAACACTGCCTTGATTATTGTAGCTTTAGAGGAAGTCTTAAAATTAGGTAATAAATGTCTTCCAACACTGAAAAAAAACCTCTCAGTAAAAACTAATGATTCTTTGCTCTATCTTGTAGTACTAGGGACTGACTTCAAATACAATGAAGGCTTTGGGGAAAAAAATGACTGTAGGAAAAATCACCCCAGTCTAAAGAGTTTAGTAAAATAAAGGCTGGAG